GCCATGGAAGTCCAAAGCCCAGCACAAATGGTAACTATGTCCTTTGCTTCATTTTCAACCCTGTCCTGAGTGTAAGCTGTCTTGCTGCACCATGAGTGGCAGTGGAGCTCACAGTTACATTTCACAGAGAAAGAATAACGGTGTGAAGACAGGGACGGCAAAGGACGTCTGTCTTATATTGTCTTGTGCTTGATAAGGTCACAGGCAGTGCAGACTCACACCTCTGTCTGCTCCGTTCCTGGTTATAGGCTGGGACACATCACATTTCCTAGGACCCCTGGAAGAGGAGACGGGCATCTTGCGGACACTGCTGACCTCCTCTGGCACCCAGCAAGCGGCCAGCATTGCTCTGCTAAAGCTTCCCTTTCTTCTCGTAAGTAATGTACTTGCACTTGGAAAACTTTTTCTCCCTGGTCCTCCTTTGTGTCCTGGGTTATTCTGGCTCTGCTATGTAAGATGAGTCCCAAAAAAGCCCCGAAGAGAGCAAGAAACAGAGAACAGAAACTGGGAAGCCAAGCACTACAAATAAAGAGCAGAACAGGAATTGCAACTGGAGCCCAAAGCATTGATTGCCAAGTGCAGGAGCTAAGTGGGAAAAGAAAAAGTTACAGTTCCTAACAAAGACCACATTTAATTTCCCCTTCTGGATTTTCACCACGATGAAATTTGCTTTCTCTGTGTATGTGCATGTGTGTGGAAAGCAACTGTTGCAGGCACCATTTACGAAGCAAAATTGTTTGTTTCCAACTGTTCCGTGGAAGAGAAACAGGCCAAAAGGAAAAGAAGAGAAACAACCAAAATCATGTTCCCAGAGAAGAGCACTCTGGATTTGTCCATTTTTCTATTTCATGATGCTGCTGTCAGGAACTGGGAGCTGAGCTCTGAACACCCTCCAGCTTGTTCCCGGCGTGGCTTCTGGCCAGGGAAAGCCCTTGCTGTCAGGCAGCAGAACGTGGTCAATAGGATGTGAGAACCAACTGGTGGGAAACCTGCACGTTACCACCTATCAGACTGCGCAACATCGACGCCTCCCCCTGGGTGGCATTTTTGTTCTGATATATAATGCTAATTTGTGCCTGTGGTTGCGGCTATGTTTCATCCTGGGAAAAGAGACCAAACAACATGCAACCAGAGGCTGGATCAAACATGGACAGGAAAGTATTGCTGGTGAACAACTATCGAGGACACCAGGCTGCAACCACTTGCTTGCCCCAAGTGGCTTTTGAGGCTGGATGTGCCTTTAGCACCCCGGGTGAATGTGGTCAGACCTCCCCCTTGCTCCGTGCGAGGAGCGTGGCTGGAGGGATGCTGCCTGACCCAGGGGAGGCTCAGGTCCACTGCGCCAAAGCATGCAGACCCTGCAACCCGGCGCTTCATCTTCGTGACGGTGGCCCCTTCCCAGACCTCTCACATGATGGGTTTCCAACCAGAGGGGTTTGGGTTGTCAGTTCCTGCGCTGGGCATTTCGGAGGTTGCGTGACGGGCAGGTGTTGAGGGAAGGAAAACCTCGCTGGGCTGGGGGTGCAAAAAAGCCAGCCAGCGGCTCCCCTCCCACACCTCCTGCCCGTCCAGCTCCTGATAGCCCAGCAGCCTGTCCTGTTTCGAGGTCCCCATTCCCATGCGGTCATCGATGGCAGCCAGGGAAAGGGCAGCCAAACTGGGAGGCAAGAAGCATGAGTCTCACGGCAGTGTTTTTCCATCCCTGGTGCCAATTTCTGTGGCTCTCAAAGGTGCTGAAAGGCTAATTATGTGACATGCTGTGAGGGGCTTGGGCACAGCTGCTGTGGTATCTGTAAGCAAAACCAGCAATTTAATTAAAAACGAGTCAGGTTCTCTCACATGCATCATCTCCGCTTGCTTATTTTGGACCGCCTGATCTATCTGCTCCGTGGTGCTTCTTATTTCACTGCTAGTATGGAGGATTAGTCTATTTTTTTTCTCTCTCTTTCCCCTCTGCTTCTCCTTTTGCCAGTGCTTGCTCTGGTCTGTGCTTTATTCCCAAGCACCAAACAGCAGCCTTTTCACATGAGGCTTTCCCGTTTCCCAGGCATCCCAGTGCAATTCAGTTCCCACCCTGGTGCTGATGGACTTGGTGCAGACCTTGGCCTCTCCTGTCTCACCCCATACTTCGAGACGACAGAGCATCTCCCACCTCCGCCAAGGGAGTGCAGGGCTCTTCCTCCAAAAACTGGGGCGCTGAGCACCCCTGGGCAGGGAAGGTCACCAAAGGCCTTCCCACTCCACAGCCCGGGTGAGGACTCCGCTTGGTCCCCAGCAGAAAGAGGTGTTTCCACGGTGCTTCAGCCTCACGGTTTTAATAACAGCAGCAGCTCGCTTGGAGAGTTGTCAGCAGTGATAAACGCAGTCCCATTCTGTTTCAAAATTGGTTTAAGAAGGATGCCTGGCTGTTTAATATTTAAGCTAAATGTTTAATGTTTAAACAGGGAAATTGTTCCGATTGTCAGAAAGGGCATTAAAGCAGGATAGAAACTGGTCTATAATCTCTGACAAACGCTGCCCTTTCTCTGCAGCAGCGTGGTGCCTGGGAGCTGCAGGAGTTTCAGAAATGCCAATTTTAATCAACCTCTTTCATTTCATTTGCTGCTTACCACTCCAAGAGCAGTGAGACGTGCTTTTTCCCTAAGAAGTGGGGAACGTTGTACCTGGCCCTGTTTAACAGTGTGAGACTAGTTCAGCTGAATTGAACTTGCATTTCAAATTACAATAGAAATGTGTGTGGATAAGGTAAAAAGCAAAGGTGGATGGTGTCAGCCCATGGGTGTATCCCAGATGATTTGGGGTCCCTTTTGCATGCTCACACCTTTTGTGTGTGGAATTCACATGTCAAGTTTAAAGTCATAGAATCATAGAATCATAGAATCGTCTAGGTTGGAAAAGACCTTTAAGATCATCCAGTCCAACCATTAACCTACACTACCAAGCCCACCTAAACCAATCAAGGGTAGACTAGACTAAACCATATCCCGAAGTGCCACATCTACCCGTTTTTTGAACACTTCCAGGGATAAAGTCAGCACAACAATGAACAGCTCTAACTGCCACAAACACATGTATGGATGAGTATTTTTGAACAGATACAGACAGTGTTTTTCAGGCAGTGGAAATATCCCCCCAGGGGATGTGTGTACCGGTGCAGAACCGTTTCACGCCACAAAAGGCTTGTCAGGAGCGAGCCTGTGCTCCCACCCGGAGCCCTCAGGCGGGCACTGTGGCTGTGCCAGGCTGCACGCAGGGGCTAGTCCTAGTGCACAGGAATCCCTGCTTGGTCATGGCTGGAGCTGGGGAGAAAGTCTGCAGGGAACCCTCCAGTCAAACAGCAATTCACGTTAGTCACTTTTTCCCCCATTAAAATGTTCCTAAGGTGGATGGTAAACTGACCTGTCAAACGACCTGTCAAAAATCCTTTAAATAAGCATCTAATACTACAGTTTAGTGTGTTCAAAATCCAACATTACTGCTTCCTACTGAGACTATTCTCTCCTTTCCAGTGTGGATAATTTGAAGTGCATGTGTGAGTTCAAGGTAGATGGGAAAGCTGAAAATGTAGATAGTCTTCTCATAAATAATCTGCTCAGGTTTTTTTCCCCCCAGAGAAATTGGTAGCGGCTGGCTGATCCTCCCACAGAATGGCTGCGAACGATGAACAAAGTAGCTCAGGAGACATGCGGTGTCTGTACAACCTTTTCTGGGCAGTGCTTAACGCTGGCACCGTGAGCACCCGCTCACATCTGATGGCAAGGGGCTGCCTGAAGCACTCCTTCCCCCTGGAAAGGGCTTCTGGTTTGGAGCCCACCGGCACCTAGGCTGAGATTGGTCCGCACTTACGGCGTCTACAAGGCTTTTGTACAAAAAAGTGAGAGGACACACGAATGTGGTGGAAGCAGAGGCCAGGAGTGAAGTCACCTTGGGTAGACAGGTATTTCTGTTGGTGTATACATATGGATCATATCGAGCAGAGCAAGGGTTCGGTGGCTGCTGCATGTGATGTGCCTAGTGATTTAACACTGGTGCAGAGAAACATCACCTTCCATAAACTCACAAAAAAATGACACGAGAAAGAATCTGAAGAAAAGTTTATAGAAGAGCTCCTTTTATCAAGGTTTCAGGACTATTGAAAGGCACATTTCACCCATGTGGAATGACACTTGAGTTCACGGACACATACAATGCTCACATTTCATGGCAAAAAGACTGCATAATGATGGTATGTTGTGAAACATATATTCCAGACTTCAGTTAAACACTAAAGTGATTATTTTAAGTGTGTCATGTAGATAATAAGAGCGGAACAGGCAGATGCATCCAATTACTGTAATTTACAAGACAGTAATTCAAAGCCCAAATATATTTCTCCTTATTGGAGGAAGGCGGTACAGATTACAAGCAAAATGAAGGGCAGCAAATTGACAGGGAGCCAGGAAGCTGCTGCCATTCGGAAAATAACAGCTAGCATCTGCTGCAAGTTGGAGGGGCTTTAACTTTGCTAACTCATTTCACTCCGCTTCAACAGCGAATGGCCAGGCTGGATCAGATGCTCTTGGGCCAGGAAGCAACCCAGAGCGTGCCGTGGCCGTGCCACACCGACACAGGCACCCTGCACGACAGGTAAGTGCGGATGTTTGCTCGGTAGCGGGCAGAATAAAGTCCACTCGTGCTTCCTCTCTCGCCTTTTAGCGAGCCGCTTCACGCTAATCCCCTCTTTTCAACCAGCTTGTGGTTAAGTTTCACGTTGTGATGATTAAAAATTAATCAAATGCATTTGAAAATTAATTTGGCAGTTCTACATCTGATTGGCATGCTAATCTCTTCTGTGCGGCAGGGATGTTATAGGAATAACCTCGGATATTCTGAGCTGCTATGTAAGGGTATTTATTATCTCATGTGGTAAAAAAAAAAGCAGCAAGTGGAAACGAATACGTTCTCCAAGGCCTCTTTGCCTTTCAGGAAAGGTGTGATCTGCATTTTGTCTTTCCTGTGTTAGGAATATACCATCGATATTATCATGTCCAATCAAAACAAATGGATAAGGAAAAGGCAAATTTGAAAAAACACCCCCATAGTTGATTTATTTCTGTTTCGCTGGTAGCAACTGCAGTAGATTTGATGCATTAATTATGGTACTAAAAAGAAACATCACAAGGAGAACAACTTTTGCCCTTTCCAGTTGTCCGTGCCACTTGTCTCCAAAATAACACACATCTGGTAAAAGGGAAGAAGAAGGAGTATGCAGCTTCCACTGGACATGTGGTCTCCACTAGTTTCGAAATAGTAGTCCCTTTTTATAGGCAAACAGCCCCACAGCAGCCACAGAGGTGAAACACACGGTAGAGCTAAGCAGGCACAGCAGTCCTGGCACGGACGGCATGTTCCTCTCCCAGAAGCTGGTGTTGAATGGTCGGGCTGGGACATCCTGGGGGAGAGAGGAGATGGTACCACCGCAGGGTCTCCCTCATCGTGAGAGTGCGGAGGCAGCAAATGTCCCCCGCTAGGCTGGGGAGATCACAGGTTTTCCCGAGGACCAGATTGGGGGTGGGAAGGAGGGTCAGGGCTGTGAAATGTGTATTTTCTGTCACCCCGAACAGTCACAGGACAGTGAAGGTGGAGTTACTTGTGACTGGAAGGAGGTTATATTTGGCTTAAAACCATGGCCTGGGACTGGGCAGAACGAGGCTGATTTCCTGCATTTTGCAGTCCCCCAGGCTCCGAGATCTTTGTCCCTGGCTCTTGGCCATCCACCCCTCAGAGAGGGGTAACAATATTCCTCAGACAAGTCAAAAAAATGAATAGCATCAGCATGTGAGGTAAACAAAACCTCGCCCAGGGGCAGGCCCCATAGGAATTGCCAAAACAGGGACCACAGCCTGACCGAGGGGTATGTGCCTGACCAGGTGACAATGAGAAAGCCCAGCTTACCTTTGACTCTGGCTCTGGCATCCAAATTTCATTCTCCGAGATCCTCCCCATACTGTGCAATATCTAGAAGAAAAAATTATTTGTACCACATGAGGAAAAAAATTAAAAACGGTGCTACTTTCAGTTTTGGAAAAGCAGATCAAGTCAGAGCAAGGTGACATTGATAAAAGACATAACTATGACTAGCTGAAAGTGGCTTGAACCAGAAAACGTATAGTGATTTCTCTGTTTATATCAGCAAGGAGAGAAGAGGGAGGCAGTTTTGGTAGTTTGTGTAAATATATGACAGCTGGTCATCAAACGGTAGCGTGCCTAAACAGTGTTTTAAGGATAAAAGAACAGTTTTAGAGAGTCATTTGTAAAAAGTAGGACTTCACTCAGAAATCCACACAAACTACAGCTTCTCCAGACGTTTATTTTCAATTTTTTTCTGAGTGCAAGTAAAAATGCTTTTTCACATGACAGTTTGAGAAATAGCAAGGTGAGGTTACTGCCATGCACTCAAGATGCAAAACCTGTTAGGAGTGTTGCTGCTTGGGTCACAAACTAGAAAGAGGAGAGATACAACTCTAGGGTTTTCAAAGCATACAATTACAAAGTTATCTCTTGGCTACTGAGGCAGTACAAAGCTCACTGAGGATTTTTCTTGAGAATAAACTGATTGTAACAATCGAGGTTCTCGGGGCAAATGAATGTCTCCAGAAGAGACAGCTAACTGTCTTTATAACTACTACTCACAGGTAGGGAAATTATGTGACTGGAAACAGAGCAAGTAATGAGGATTATAAGGCAAATATGCTGTTCTGTCAAACGGAAGCAAAGGGCTGATTTTCCCTTAAGTAACAGCTCCGTGGCTCTGCCATACAGCAGTGGTAACTGTAATGTACACCCTTTAATGGTTTTTTTCCCTCCCTCCAGACTGTTGTAAAGGCATTTCGTTGTGCCTGGGAACCCAGCCCAATGCATGTCATTCTGAGCAGATTTAGACATTATCAGAGCTGCCCATTCCAAATTGATAAAGCTGAGCTAACAGTACTCTCTCGTAAAAGGAGAAGCAGAAGGGAAAGATCAAAAATAAGAACAAAGCTCAGATTTCCAGATTGCTGCATAGGAAATAGCTGCAAGCATTTGTAATGACTTAAATTACTTTTAAAACATACAGTGACTAGTTTGTTAGATATTGTGGTAGTGTATCTAAGGGCAGCATCAGGCTGATGGGATTTTTCCTTTAGACATGAGGTATACAGCATGAACTTCGTTTTAAGTCTCCAGTGCAGCAACACACTGCATAATGTTCTGATTTGGGTGAGATTCTTGGCCTCACTTTATTCAACAGCAAACTAAGTAAAGTTTAAAAAAAAAAAAGGCTTTGGTTCACATCCTCTTCTGGGATTCCTCCCCATCAATTTCAGGAGCCTCTGCACAATTACAGGGTGTGATGCACAAAATCAGACCCTCTGAGCTGTAGTTAATCCTTTTTAACCTTTTAACAGAGATGTTGAAAGCAAACCAACAGTCTGTACCTCTCTGGCTGCTCTCTCTCCCGCCTGTACGGCCCCCTCCATGTATCCACTCCATTGGGTAGCTGTCTCTGTGCCAGCAAAGTAGATTCTGTCAACAGGCTGGCGAATGATCCTTCAAAACAAATGGAGAATGTCAGATGACAAGTAACAGGAAGGCGATGATCCTTCTAAAGGCAATTTACGGGCTTTGATGGAGTGCTCAACTTCAGTTCTCCAGAATTCCTGCAGACCTGGGCTGGGGAGCACGGTGCAACAAGCTGCCCCTGCAGAACCACCCACCTGCTTCTGTACACAGAACTCAAGATCTGAGAGAAAGAAAATCCAAGGCATAAATCAGCATGCCCAGCTTCCGTGCAAAATAATACAAGCCTTATTTTAGTACTGGGATAAGTGATAATCCTAACAGCCTCCAGAAATGCAGCGCAGCTGACAGATTTATGCCTTCTGCATGGCAGCTTTGTTGTTATCCTGCCATTACAATGGGATGTGAATGATGTTTTTGCAGTGACGGGTCACTAATACCAGCTTCTGTTTGGAGGTTGGACTTGCCTGGCCGCAAGACCTGCCAAAAGGGGAAGGCAGCTGAAGGCCTCTGCATTCAGGGAGTTGCATTTGCCCCACAGGGTCATATAAGCCAGCCCCTCAGCCGTGCAAAGCTGCACAAGCATCCCGGTCACCCCAGCCATAGGTAAGGAGCCCCCCTTTACCATAGAGAGATGTGCTTTCTCTAAGGGCTTCCATCTAACCCCTGATTAGGTCTTCCCTGTCTGCCTGACACCAGCTTCCCCAAGTCAGAGGCCTCACTCATCATGACCCAACTGTTTAGATAAATTACAGAAGAGTCTGTGCATGGGATGACTTCTTCCCACAGGCATGTTGGCACAGAGGCAACAGGGTATAACTCCCTGATGGACATGCTAAGGAGCTCATGCTGCAATGTGTTACACAGTTTGTCTGGTCTTTGGCTATGGATCAAGATTTGTCTGGTTGTTCCTATTACGTGCTGAACTGTGCCTTCCACACACTTTTCAGTGATATACCTAGTATTAATCAGGATTATCTAATATGTTCCTTTAGGAATATAGCAATTCTGCATGGGGAAGGCATGGGAGGCTTTGCTGGGTGGGAGGAGCGAATGAGTTTTCATGTAAAGAGTGTCTTCCCCTCGTGATGTGACTTAATGGGCTTCACCAGAACTTGATGCTCCACCTACACAGTCAGTGGAGACTCTTCATCTGTCCAAGATGTGTGCCCGCAAGGTCTTAGAAAGCATTAAAGGGATTTATTGTAAATACTGGGTAGCAGCAAATCCTGTAAGTAACGCAGCAGGGAAAGGTTTCCTGGCTCTAGCAGGTCCCTTTGTGTCTGTGCTTTGTTTCCTTGAAAGTCAAAAGAGAAACTCTGCTCTTACTGAAGTCAATAGCAAGATCCTTGTTAGCTGGGGAGTAGGGAAGCAAAAAGAGAATTGGTGTTCCCCCAATATGTTACATATGCCATAAGTTTGTTGTATAAGGTATATCATTGCACATGAGCTAAGAAATGTAAAAGCATTCTCCGGTTTACCTTCCATAAGAATACATTATGCCTGGTGGGAAGTAGGCTGTGTAACAACCCCCTGAATATTGCTCCGTGCTCCAGTTCTTTTCTTCATAATGCACAGGCTGTAAGTATGAGCAAACATTAGAGTGAAACAGTGGCAGAGGAATTGGAAATAAAAAACAAATTTCCTTTGAAGAGGGGAAAAAACAGACTAAGGATACCTGTCAAAGGAGTGCCATTTCATCTGGCTAATGCTATCCATCTGCAGAAAACAAATCTTTGCACTTTTACAGAAGCACTAGCCTCCCATGGGGAAATGACAGGACAAATTAAACCACGCACTGCCTTCTCTTCTCTTGTAAAGAGTGAGACTGGCAGCTCTTTTCTTTCTGTACTAGATGCTGCTGCCCTCCCCTTGGGAGTACAGATTGTATGGCACAACATGGAATTTTAGGTACACATTTTAGGTGCCAGGAATTTTGGCTTCATCCTCCAGAACAAAGGAGCAAACTACTGTACAACAGAGGTGATAACAGGCATTCATTTCTTACATGTAAAGCCTCTTCCATCCCCATTGCCTTGGCATATGCCTCACAGATCTTCTTTTTCCTATATGAAAATAAAATCAGAGTCAGAAAAAAAAAGGTGGAAAAAAACCTCTCAGCTATTGCTCTTCTTACAAAAAAAATCACATTTATTGCAATACAATGGAAAGAAAGTTGGGCTTGGCTTTGTTTTTAAGTCTGATTTCAAGTTCTTAATATACATATTTCAAATGCGGATGCCTAAATGTGACATCCAAAATGAACCCAGGGAATAGGAAATGAAGGTTGATTTTGGCAATGAGCTCTGAAAAAATAAATCTTTGTACAGTTATTTTGGGATGCAGATCCAGTTCATTCTCATGTTCACTGGTGTAAGACCAGAAGAGAAGCAATATAAATCAATGAAATCCCTACAGATTTACTACAGCTGAGAACAAAATATGAGCTGGAGAATACTACTCGCATTCCTAAGTGGAACTTCTCCTTCACTTGCATGTGTACCAAAACTCACATTTAGAAAGTACTGTTTGTTCATTTCACAGACTAATGGAGAAACCATATTGTTGTAAAAACAGAGGTTTAAAAATTTTATCACCCAGTATGAATGCGAAGGAAACTCAAAACTACACTTGTCAGTGCTCCCTATAGCCCTGGGGTGAAGCATCATTCAGTAGGGATGCAGTCTGGGAACGTCTTTGGAAAAAAATCTCAGTTCACGCAGAGAGACAGTGCTGATAAGTCATAACATGGAAGAGCGGGCAGGACTCGGAAACTCAGAAATATCCATAACTGGATGGATAATAGCATTAGTGTCTTGGCCTGTTTATCTAAAAGCGCAATTTTTGCCCCAATTTCCAGTATTGGTAGTTGCACTGAGCATGTGTGTACGTGTACATTCACACACATCCACACACATATTCCTGTGGGGAAGCATCCCAGAGAACTGCCATTTCTGAAATATTTACAGTTTCTGAACTCTTACCTCTCTTCCTTAGTGAGATGGGCCAGTTTAACAGCCTTTCTGGTAAGGATGAAACTGAAAAGAAAAATATGGCACATAAATATCACACAGTGTCAGCAGCCCAGCTGATTTGCAAGCTCTTGCTTGAACTAACTCTAAAAAAAGACAGGCAAAGCACTTTACCAGTACATAATGGGCTTGACATTTTTTCATCATACCTCATCACTTAATAATTACAGCTCACACAGGTGAAAAGGCCTGTGCAGGGTACCCTGGGGAGTTAATTGAAAGGGAGAGCATGCATTCCCAGAGGGCAGGTGCAGAGGACTGCCTGGCAGCTGCCAGATGAGAAAGTTGTGGATTGCAAGTGTGTTTTCAAAGCTGCCAGCACTGGCCTCATTTTGCTCCGTGGGAATGAACTCCCCATCCCGACTGACTTAGGAGAGCAAAGTGAGCCCACACTCAAAGTGGGCAGAGAGATGACAGTGCCCAGCAAACTAGCTTGGACTGCCGACCCTCTTATACCTAGGTCTTATCCAAAAGGGCTGAGACCCTAAGTTTTCTTGAGCTTTTGAAGTCTCGCAGACAGCTGGCCATACCACTGCCCGTGTCATTTGGTGTTAATAAGTGATGGGAGCTTGCTGCTCTGACATGCACTGCACGGTGTCATGGACCAGTCCTGTAAGAACTGGGATTAATATTTATTCAGCTTGAAGGAAACAGATTTGGTGATTAGTTCATCTGACCTTAATAGAGGTACCCAGAGGATGAAATATGTTCCTACACTCTTTTAGAAAGTTGCACAAATCCTCAAGGAGAAAGCAGGAAACTGTTTGCTATATGGGGTTTGGAGGAGGCTTATTGCTTTCAGGTTGTGGAATTTTTGAAGCCTTGAACATGCCCATAAATATGTACAGTTCAGTAGAAGTGGCACGCTTTCCTTGCCAGACACTTAAGGAGTAGTTGCCTGACATTTATATTGGCAGTCTCACCTCAGATTATAGTGGAAACGTTTGTAAAGATTGTTTGTTTGTATTGGCTTAGCCTATTTAAAAAACCAGTCAATGCTGTTACATATTTTCATAGACTCATAGAATTGTTTAGGTTGGAAAAGACCTTTAAGATCATCAACTCCAACCATTAAGCTAACACTACCAAGTCCACCACTAAAACAATTAAGGGTAGAGTAATAATTAATTTCATGTTTTTTCCTGGCTTGGTGGCTGGATTATTTTTTAATGAAAGTAAAAACTAGGAATCATTAAGGTTGGAAAGGAACTCTAAGATTGTCAGTCCAACCATCAACTCAACACCACTGTGCCTACTAAACCATATCCCAAAGTGCCACATCTACACATTTTTTGAACACAACCAGGGATGGTGACTCTACCACCTCTCTGGGCAGCCTGTTCCAATGCTTGACCACTCCTTCTGTGAAGAAATTTTTCCTAATATCCAATCTAATCTTCCCCATCTGTTTGTCCAAACTACAACTTTTTTACTTGGCAGTTTCTTCAGAATCCCGATTTCTTCACTGCACAGCTGCTGCTCTGCTCAACCACCAGCTGATATTCGTTGTCCTGCCTCAGCTCAATGGGGAAAGGAGACAAATGAGGATTTCTCAGGCAACTGCATTTTCATTTTGGCCCAGGCGCTAAATACAAGGCCCAACATAAGCCGAATACAGGCTCACAAAGCTAGGTAAGAAAGGAATTGATTTCTAAATCTACTTCACAGCAAATAAACATTAACTGAATGCTTAAAATGAACTACAGCTGAATTCAGCAACTCCTTCCCAACCATGTCCTTTGTATTAGGCTACTTGTAGCAGAAGCTTCACCTAAAAGCTTATATGGGCTAGAGAGGCACAAGAGGCTTGTCAGAAGTGCTCTCCTCCATTTATGAAGATTGTGGGAGTGGGCACCACTGATGTAACCTGGCCATTTCCCCTCTTCCTCCTCCTCCCACTCCTTCATCCAAAAAGAAATACACATCTGTAAGTATGGGTTAGAAGCTCCTAACCCCATAATGGCAGGGAAAGATCCATCAGGTTTCGTGTCATCTATGGTTATTCCAATTGGAGACTCTTCATCCTCAATGATGAAGGAACCACAATAACCTAGGGAGGGAAAAGAAAACAAAATGATTGTCAGAGAAACTTGAAGATCATTGTTTATGATAGTAATGAGCAAGGAAAATTATCTGTAAAAGGAATTTACAGTAATTCCTTCATCACCAATAATACCTACATGTCTGAAGTGTTTTTGTAACAGTCTCTCTCCTCTCTTCCCTCTGACTCTGTGAAATTTTGTACACAGACTTATAAAAGTCATATTTAAATTCCATTATTACTTAGCAAGGACTTTCTGTGGATTGTTGCAAGTGTCTATATTGGGGGCAATAAACATTAAAAATAAATGGATCTAGCAAGAACTATGATGGTTCATTCCATGAGTAACTTTGGTCAAAACTACAACAGCAGCAACAAAACCCAGTGTAATTACATCTGGTCACTGAGGGCTCAAATTTACACCCTGTATTGATTTTGCTGACAGTAAGCCTGTCAGGAATGCTGTCCTGTAACACTAATGCAGCAGAAACATGGGCCATCTAACCTAGTAACACATCAGTACATGTTTCAGATGAACACGCAAAAAATCCCATATAGATAAGCAGTGTATAAACCTGCCTACACTTCTTTCTAATCCAAATGGCCGGTTTATGTCCTGAAACAGGCAAAATCTTTTGATTAAGAAATATTCTCGCCCAGTGCAACTCTCAGTATCGTTACACAGGAAGTGTAAACCAATCTTTTCATGCAAGTAATTCTAGAAATGGTATCAGTTAAAGCTGAGAAACACATGATGTTGCAGTACATGGAAAAAATACTGAGTTAAACAAAAAGCTAACCTACTTTTTCCAGTCCTCTGAGATATCAAGTCTGTAGAACAGAGGATTAAAAACAGGCAAAGGTCTTGTTTACACCTTAAGCTCTCCTTGTCAACTGCTGTAAATTCTCTTTGGCTGTCCTAACTGTCCCTGGCAGGGAGAAGCAGGGACCTGCTGCTGCAGGGTCACTGCTTCTGTGCATTGCAGGTTTCAGCAATGCTTCCCCAGGAAACCTTGCCTGTTCTCTCAGTTGTCCCTCCTCAGCTAGCACCAATGAGATTCGGGATCCTATTTGGGTCTGGACTCATCTTTGCGACAAGGCGTGCACTCAAGCTTGGAGGAAGAGCTCTCCTTTCTAAGGAGCTTTACCTTTCACTTCTCTGTGTGTTTGGTTTGGGGGTTTTGCACATTTAACCCCCTCTTGGATTTATTCCCTGATAGAGAGCAGAGCTTCAAAATTCGTGTAGCATGGGGCTCCCAAGTGCTTCACTTTCCCCACATACCCTTCCTCTCCCAGAAGGCTTCCCTGTAGTACACCATGCATTTTATGACACATCCCATAGGCAAACGTTGAATTAACTGGTTTCTCTTTGGTGGCAGTTCTGGTTTGTAATGAATCTTCGTTGTCAGGATCGGAGGGATAGCACTGATCACATACTTGCCCTGAAACATAAAACGCAGTCAGTACAGACAAGGTGCTGCCTCTCACTGAGGTCACCCTGCAGGACATGTTTGAAAGACGCTCTTATTAGTTGTTAACAGCTTTCCCACACCTGACTTTGCTAGTTGGCTTTCCCACACAGATATTTCCAGGTGACCAAAATAATTCAGCCATTTCAGAAAAAAAGGAGCTGGGAAACACATGTTGTTTTGTCATTAGATGATTCTTGACAGCTTTCCGGACACTACAGGACCGGAGCTGAAACTTGGCTCAAGACAGGTGGGGAAATGGGACAAGATAGATCTTATGGCATAGGTAAAATGGCCTTTTATCATCCTCAGGAAAATATGACCCACATTTGTCTGAAATACAAGCTGTTAAAAAGCCAGAATAATCACTTTTGTGCATGTTGACAGGATACTACTTCAGGACAAGCAACACTGATGGTGATTTCAGCTTTCCTGAACACGCTCCATCCCTCTCGCAGGTCCTGTGTCTGACTGGAGCAATGAAGGATGCTCTGCTTCGGGGCTCAGGGTGACACTATATCACAACAGACGCTGCTGCTTTCAGGCACTCTCACACTGGTGGGGCCGCTGAGTACAGGATGGCTGTCTCCTCTGACTTGGCTGCTGCTCAGCCAGCATGGAGGGAGAAGCCAGTGGTTTAACTCCAGGGTTTAAAAATCCTTGGGGGAGGGAGAGAGTCCCCCCCTCCAGGACATCCTTAGACTGGCTTCTCTGCCAAACAGCCTCTTCCCTTTCTTTTAGCTTTCTTTATCTCCTCCAAACACTGCCACCAGTGAGATGGGGGTCTTGTACACCATGATGGTCCTGCACGAACCCCTGTGGCAGGCTGGGCTCTGTGTGCAGAAGGGAGTTGCCACGCTGTGGGTGCCACTGTGGGTAATCATGTACTGATGGAGCATTTCACAGCACTACTGCACAGAGGCAACATCTTACTAAAGGCATTTGAAATGTCCTTTTTTTTTCACTCTGGAAACCACAAACTTAGATAAAAACAGGAACGTTATTTTTCCTTTCTTTGAAATGGTCTCAGTGCAGAACTAAAATGTAATAATATGATCACAGAAAAAGTTAAGGCAGAAAAGGCAAAGTAATGACAGAAACTAACTAGCAGAACACCAAGAAGAGACCCAGACATAAATATATCCATAACGCAGGCTTCACAGAGTGTCAGCATAGTCTGAGAAATAGACACACACAAATGGGTACTTCCTGATTACATCTGGCTAAGAGCTACAGCAGATGTATTCCCCCACTAAATGCATACTCTACTTTTATTCTGATCCAATTACCTCATATATCTCATGGTTTAGAGTCTCCACAGTGACATTATCACCTGTCTGATCAATACGGACCACAGGTCTCTCCAGTTTAACTCTGCCTTTGAGGCGTTCCATTATTTTCTCCGATATCTGACCAGAACCCCCTTTAAACTTCCTCTCCTAAAAAACAAATAGAAAAGAAACACAAACAAAAAATCACCAGCATTAATCAGAATGACAGTGAATGTGACTTCTGCTCATAACCAAGAAACTCCAGGCCAAATCTGCAAGTCCTAAGGGTGCACAAAAAGGCCCAGACTTTCAGAAGAGTGAAAGCATAAACCTGATCCTCAGTGGGGATTGCTGCCTAAACCACTTTTGCAATGGCTTCCTCAATTAGCTGGCTTAAAGACTCTTGAAGCCTAGACAACAAACAAATATAATGCAGGTGTTCTAGCTAGTATAAACATATCACTTCATTAAAAAGAGGTTTTGAGTATTTTACCCATCACTGCGCTACCAAAACCCTCATATGTGACAAAGACACCAACTTGCATCTGTACAGCGAAAGCCTGCACCAGCCCAGAAGCAAGGCAGATTTTTAACTGGGCCTGGCCTCAAGTGCGGCAGGCAATGAGCTTTATCTGTCCCTGGGAAGACACAAAGACATCGCTTTCTGGGAAAAAGCACAATCTGTGACACATATTTCCTTGCAATGTCTGTGCAGAGGCTCAGGGGAAGCACTAACCCTCTTTTATCTGCCAGCCACCAGCGCTATATCAAGCAGCTTACTTTTACATATAAGATGCTGGTACTGGCAGGGAGGAAAGGTTCCACAAAGTCTTGTGCTGAAAGACTGAAATGGCTGCCTGAAGTTTTACAAGACTCATCATGGCCGCTAAGTCAGAAACCCTTAGTGTTTCTGCTCAACAGATTTTGATTGGGGTGAGGGGAGAGGGAAGCATGGCAGAAACCAAGACAGCTTGCCTCATCCAGGCACAAAGAAAAGGAAGTGTTTTTCCCAGGCTAGCTTTCCCCTCTCCATATATCTTGTTTAGCTATGAGTATCTGGAGACAAATTTTATTTTTAATTCTTGCTGCAATGCCTAGCAGTTGCTGACATGGGACAGCAAATGTGGCTGAGGGGCTCCTGAGGAGGAATGCTCTTGGGTCTTGCTCCCACCCCAGGGCAGCATTAGCTCTACTTCCATCCTCCTGTCACATGGTTTTCTGTTCTTACCCCAGTGGACAGATGTTGATGGACACTTCACATCTCTCCAGGCAACTTCTCTTAATGTCTCCCTATCCCAGCACACTTGGAAGGGTGTGGTACTGTCTCCACTTTTGCTGTTGGTAGCTTAAGTCTGAAATGCTGCACGTGCTTTCTGAAGCTGCGTTAACTGAGGTAGGAGGCTAGTAAAGGGTGCAAACATACCACATCCAAATTACCTTGACACCCCTCTCTCCCCTTTTCTGAAACTTCATCCAGAACAATCACGTGAAAACTCTGATGTTCTGTAGGCAACCAGGCGCCTGCCACAACCAAGGCAAGAAACAGTCTGAAGTAGCTCATAAAACATGCTCCCATGTGAGCAGTCCCAAGAAGGAAGGGCCTTTTGCTATCTACTTCCAACTCTTGTCATTAGAGGCTTCAATGCCAAAAAAGTATTTCACTCTGAAGTACACCTGCTTTGATCTCTTGAAAACATTCAAATGCGCTGAGTAACCCGTAAAAAACAAATTGGCAAAAAAGCAACAAAACAGCAACAAAAGGACTGTGCTGAAGTGAATGCAGGAAAAAACAATTGATTAAATTGTCCCAATTTATCCCAAAGCCTAGCTAATAAAATCCCTTATTGCACAGAAGTAGCTGAGAAGGCTGTTCGACCCCATGAAAACATAACTGTCTGCGGTGCCACATGAACTTGGTGTTTCGTCCTCTTTTCATTCATTGCAGAGCTTTGACAGGTACAACACTCCACTTGCTCTTTATGGTTTCAAGAAAGGAGGAAGAATATGAGAAATTTTGTACCTGGCCCCCATTGGTGATAGAGAAAATCCTGGCTGTACCCCCGCACTGCCTCACGTACCACAGGAACCAGAGAGCAGAGACTTCATGAGGCTCAGACGTGACGTTGACATTCACAAAGAAGGTGGCAAATTCTTTAGCAGCTCTGCATGAGACACAGGAGCAGAAACAGGCAGTGAGTAAATGTGAGTTCCTGACTGCTTTCAGGATTTTCTTTGTTATTCTCGATAAGAGCTGCTCTTCCAAAGTCAGAAAGGCCAAGATGATTTCTGTCTGTCTCATTTTTTAGCCTGTAGCGAGACTGTTTCAATGGGTTTTATGAGCACCTCTCTCCCTCCCGAAGCATCTACCCATCCAGTTTGAAATCCCACTGATTTCACCTTAGTTATTTCTTTAAATAGTTTTCCTGCTGCTATTCCTTTCATCAGAACAAATATTTTTCTCAACAGAAGAATGCATTTGATAACCAGTTAGTGAAACTCTTCTGCATTTCTCCTCCATGGGGAGCTCATCGGGCACATAAGTTCAGTTTCCAAGGTCTGATGGGTCCTGAGGGACTCAACTAGCCACATAGCCAAGACATTCCCCATCAACCACGTAATACTGCTGCACAGACCTTTTGTGAAACCAAGAATCAGACATGGTAAATAACCCAGAGAAACCAAACTGGCAATCATTGCCGTAAATATAAGGAGAGGGTCAGCTGTCTACTACAATAAATCCTCTGAACGTAAACAGAGTTACAGCAGCCGGAAATTAGGACCTGGCTATGCAGGTTTCTTTCATTTGTGGCTGCAGATTGCTAAGAGAATTGAGATCATTTTGCAAAGAAGGTGAAAAGTCTTTGATTTGGATGAAGTTTCATAAAACAACATGAATTTATAATCACCTGCTAAAGAAAGGAAATTTGCAAGTTATCTGGGCTAAAATATGTACCATAAACTTTTATAACCTCATTTCCCTGGGTATGACGTCCAGACACCTCTAGTTCACTAGCCAGGATATGAAAACATCCTGCATGCAAGAACCCTCCACAACAATCCTGAAAGCACCAAGATGCTGAACGGTTGTAGCAGGTTCAGGCCTCAGAAATGTGAAGAGTCTCTGCAGGATCAGTAGATGCTGATCCATGACACAACAAACAAATCTTTTTCTGTAATTTTGACCCAAGTCATACAGAAAATCCTGAGGAAGAGCTTTTGTTTAGGGCACTACAGTTTTTAACTATGTGTAGAAAAATCTGGCTCGGCTTGAATATCAAGAATGGCTTTTTACTGAGTTTTTGAACGTGTTCCAGCTGAGCACATCCATTAAAACTGGAGTACCACAAACCCATGGGCAGTAGGACAGTCTTGCAGAGAAGCATGTTACAGGAGAGATCACTATAGACCCAGTTCTGCTTATACTCCACCGGCTCACTCACTGAGGGGAACAGTAAAAACTAGAACAGGAAGAGCCAGTGCACTTGCACCAGAAAGGGTAGCTCAAAGTGACCGAGTTTGCAGGCAAATGGCTCATAAAATTAATTGTAAAGAAAACTACAATGCCACAGAGAGCAAAAGAAAGTCCAAACGGCTGTACCTTGTATCACATGGAGCTGGATCAAGATTTAAGCCAGCAAAATAAATTTCAAATGGAAAGTTTTGGTCAGGAAGCTGCAGGCACAGTGCTAAACCACAGAATGAAAGGGCAAACAGAGCACAGCCGCACAAATAAAAGATATCGTCACAGAATAGCACAAGGGCCAGCACAGCAAGAGGGGACGCAAGTGCTCAATGAGCACACTTCTCTTTGCCTTATAAAGAGAATTAATTGAAAAAGGAAAGGAAGAAAAAAGTATTTCCAGTTGTCATCACCCCATATCAAACATTGTTCCTTTTTTTTATTCATATAGTGTGGCCCATCATAGACATATAAAACACACTGGCCGTTTTCTAGGTGATACAACACTTTGGGCCTTTTTCGTAACAACTAGGGTTGATGCTCTGTTGGACCAGCTACCCACAGACAAGGAAGACCCGCCGGATGATGCAAAGTTGAAGGGCAGCCTTGGCTGCAGTGGCCATGAGACTGTGGAGTTTAAGATCCTGAGAGGAGTAAGACAAACAGCGGAATTGCAACCCTGGATTTTGGAGGGGAAGATTTTATCCTCCTCAGGGACCTGCTTGGCAGCATCTTATGGGAAACTACCCTGTAGGGCACAGAGGCCCAGAAGAGTTGGCTGGCATTCAAGGACAGCTTCCCAAGGAGCAGAGGGAGGGTGCGCTGCAATGGGCAGAGATGAGTAAGCGCAGCAAAAGGTCTGCTGGGGCAAACACAGAGCTCCTGACCAGGCTCAGGCACAAACCAGCCAGGGAGGTAAAAGGCAACAAGAAAGGGTGCCTCTGCTGCCTTGTTGCCCTCCAAGGGTTTCAGAGGCCCAGCAGGCACTACTGCTGAAACATGGAGCGGCATTTTAACTTCTCCAGAGTTTCCAGAGCCAACAGCTGCTGACTCCCCGCTCCTCGGGTCTCGTGCTGCCCCATCCACAGAGCGAGCACTGGAAAGCAGCTGCCCTCTGGCACGGCGTGCTGCTCTCCGATGTGCCAGAGGCACCTGACTGCTCTGTGGTACACCTGATGCAGCTCACGCAGTAAAAGCGGACACATATGATAACTGCGCAGGAGAGGACATAGCTGAATCAGAGGACATCACTCCTCAGCTCCTAGCCTACTATGGGGCTGGGGAAGCCCCCTCACCTCCTTCTGCCTCCACTTCTGTGCCTGCAAGTGACCTTTGTTCATATCTACAAAGCAGAGTTTTATTTACATGTTGCTTTTCCTAAAGACAAAGGCACACGTTCTCCAACTGAGTGAAGCGAAAGTATGGCGAGAAGAGCTGACGCTGTCACTCTCTTGTGCAAGGGCCTGCTGAGGCAAACCCCAGGTTTCCCTAACACCTTTAATCCCATCTGCCAGCTAACCCAAGGTCTGCATACCACTTTATCCTCCACAGGCCCTCACCCACCTCCTCACAGCAGCCCATCACAGAGACCAGCCTCATCTCAAACACCTCCTGCTCTCTCACCACCTGTACCCCAGCTGTACTCAGCTGTACCCCAGAATTTGCCAGGGAGCTACTATCATTCTCCAGCTGGATTTCAAAATGAATAAAGACTTACGTACTTGGTCCAGCAAATCTTATTTATCAGCTCTCTCATGGTCATTTTGTCCCATTCTTCAGCATGTGGAGTGTCCCATGGTGCTTCAAGAGGAATCTGGAGACAGAGGCAAAATATTCAAGAAATTATTCAGTACTATATCATTGCCTGGTCACAGCTAGTTAGTGGCACAGAGTTGATTGATATGTTGGCCAGGAGTTGCTTTTGTCCCCTGCACATGGCTATAAATTTGGAAAAAATTCACTAAATGGAATAGTTGCCATTCACACCTGTGGACATGAATTGTACCATGACCACCAAACCTGGCTTTGTCTGACCAATGAACTGTATCAATATGTTGGGACTCATCTCCCCTTTAGTCATCCAGAAGTGAGGTGTCTATTCTAATTTAGTTGTCTTGGTGTCCTCTAAGAGCTGAGAGAAAAATTCTTTCTCTAGTCAGAGATTCAGTCAGTTACAAGACGGGTATCCGAAGGCCCCTATGTCTCTCTATTAACTACAGAGGGAGCAAAAATGTCTAGATACTATTAAATTATTTTTAGACAGCTAAGTTCTTAATAATAATCCATTGCAATAAGTACCATGACATGTGAGGACACTATCATATATCTGAATCTTTAAAAAATATGTATTATTTGACAAAGAAGTGTAGCATCGTGCACAAATTTGATTCTGAAAAACCACATAAACCCAATGAACTTTGCAGGAATACAGTTAGTTATGCTTGAAAGTTATTGTAAGGTAGGGCCCCTGGTTTGTAGCCAGATTATAAGGCAACTGATAAATATGTGAAAGACAGCATGACGTTCCATGGGCTACTTTTTGCAAACAGGAATATCTGCAGTTGTACTGCTTGAATTTTGAAGGCATTTACTGTTTAAAAATTTTAGAAATAAAATTACTATGAAGCCAAACTGGAGCCCAGCTTAGGCAGCTACAGAAAAGAATCATCCTTATTCAAAAAGGCTGTCACAGGGGAAGGAGAAAAACCCTTCTCATCTCCCTGTTTGTGGAATGGTTTTCCCTGGCATGAGAAAGTACATACACTGAGGTTCAACCTCATTTTTTTCAGATATCTTAGACACCTCCAGATATTTTTGTATCCTCTCATAGGACCATAGAATGGTTTGGATTGGAAGGGACCTTTAAAGGTCTTCTAGTCCAACCCCCTCTCAGTGAGGAAGCCCTGTTACTCCTGATAGTTACTGGGCAACATAGATATCTTTCCTGATGAATGTTTCTTGGGTTTTTTTTTTTATTAAAGAAGCAATAAAAAAGCCTGACAGAAACAAAACAAAACCAAACCAAACCAGATTTACTCACGGTGACATGAGGACTGTAGGAAACAGATGCAATTTACACAGCCTACCTCTTCTCCCAGCTTGTCCACGGTCCTCCAGAAGTTATTGTAATCCAGATAAACTAAGGGATTCCATGTTGAAGGGGAAATACCTGTGAAATGGCGTGACTTTCCCTAAAATACACATAAGAACATAAGCAACTGAAACACAACAGAGCATATCTTCATTACTCAAGAACACAAAATTCTCAAAGTCACCACACGGTTGACCTTTTACCCCAAAAGACCTAGCTTTTTTTTTCCTTTGTCCTTTTTTATTTTCCTGCATATGCACCTAAACAATGGAATGCATGAAGCTAAGTATGAGGGGAAAAAACAGTTGGGCTGACATTAAAAAGGACAATAACACTTTTTTTTTTTAATTTGGCAGGGATGGGGAGGGGTACATTTGTTCTGAGCACGTTGTCAAATCCTGGGCTAGGAGACTCAAGCAATGGCCAAGGATGCTATTCCTTGTTCCTCAGTATTCTTCATTATTACATACGATTGTATCTAATGTTTGCCTGCCTGCTGAAATGTGCATCCTAAAATTTGCATCGGTCTAAAATTACATGCATTTTAAACTTTTAAACTATCTAAACAGTTTTATTGTACACCTCGTCTATAAAAAGCAAACGTACCTCATTATTATGCCAAGTACCTTGGGAGAAAGTATTTGGATCAGGAAAATGTTTTTCCAAAACACCCCCCCCCCCCCAAAAAAAAAAAAAAATTGCCAAAAAGAAAGTTTTCCATTGCAGGAAGAAAAATTTTGTACACTTGTAAAAACAGTATCAGTACTTACAATGTGTATGACATATAGCTGCAACTGCAATACAGACTGTTTCAGATAATGCTGTGATATAATGATAAGTGGAACAATCTAACAGCAGCTGGTTCTTTGTGATAACTTTAATCTGAAAGAGGACTGGATGAGCAGGCAACTTTTTCTCTCATTAAATTGCTTTGAACCTTCCTCCCTGTAAGTCAATGGCAAAGTTCTCATCAGACCTCTTTAATGTTTGCTCTTCCAGGCGTGTCAAAAGTTTGCACAAGGTCACGTGGCAGGATGCAGCAAACACGCTAGACCATGACAGGTAGGAGCTGTCATGCTAAGCTGCGTGCAGTGTGCTTTTCAGTGCAATGTATACCATACCAGCCCATCACACCTGGCAGGTGGGAGTCACAGAGCAAGCGAGAGGCTGCAGTGCCACAAATGCATGAGATGGTGACCCAGGGACAGGGGCACATGAACCAGGAGCCAAGTTCTACACTCAGCGTGAGAGAATTTATCAGTCCTCCCCACTGATAATCATGTACATGTGTGCAAATACATACGGATTTCTGATAATCTTCAGAACGTTTTTCTGCAAAGATCATAACAAAGATGAAAGGCACAAGATGAAATTCAGAGACCATAGTGAGCTTTCAGACTTGGCAAAAGCAGTAAAAAAGCCAAACTCCCACATTTTGGTCAACTTTTGTCATCCCCAGGGCAGGTACAACGGAGGAGAGAAGAGTGCAAGGGTAGGGGACAGAAGTCTTGCTATGGCCAACACTGCTTTGGTCCCTCTCTCACTAGGGGACGGCTGCAGTGGTGACCCAGCTCCAGCGGCCAGCCAGGCCCACAGCCCACTGTGCTGTACCTCCTCCCCATCTTCAGTGAGGGCAGCAGCAAAAACGCTCTCCTGTTTAGTCGAGACAGAGTAATCTCTGCTCTGGGCCAAGCAAAGCACAAAGTTATGATCTCAGCACTTAGTTCAGTTTGAGATGACAGTGCTTAAAGGTGGTTTTTTTTTCAATTTCCAACAAATGTTGAGTTTTCAAGTCACCAGGATGCCTCTGGTGGTGGTTGGTTACTTCTGGATTTCTGGGTATGTAATCTTAATCCCGTGTACTTTTTTTCTCTCTTTCATCCCTGTTTGTTTCTGTTTTAGAGAGTTACATTGGAGGAAGGTGGGTGGGGGGTGCTGCTCCAGCCTTCTCCAGGTGCATGTGTGTATGCAAAATGCATTTCTGCTGTGGCAAGAACAGAGAAAATGCTCCTGTGAGCTACCACCAAGGAAATCCTCTGCACAGCACTGCCTCTTCCTTTTCCCTGAGCATGATTTCTCACTGCCCATTTGGAGCACTGTGTGTTCAGCCATGGAAAAGAGGACCAAAAAACGCATGCAAAGTGATATACTGCATGCTACAGCTTTTACTGTCAGAAACCAATGCTGTATCAAACAAGGAAATCCTGACACAAAGCAGCAATAAATTGCTAATCATTTTCTTCTTATTGCACAACATTTTCCTTTTCAAAAAGATCATCAAATACTGCTCCTTCAAAGTTCATTTATTGCTAGACTTTTTATTCTGGTCAGCAATGCAGGTGCCTTCAATGTGTCTTCCTTGACGTGCTTTAACACCAATAATCCTGCCCCTAAGCAGAGATGAGGTGCAATGCTGTCAGGCCACCCAACAACAGGTAAAGATAAGTTATTACTGAGGTTCTGTCATGTCAATATTGCAAGGGTACAAAGGAAAAAGACAAGCCCACTGTTCAGCAGTAGCAGGGGAAACTTCCTGAAGTTTTTCACTGTTCAGCAAGACCTCTTTTCACATAGCTTTTCGATAACTGACTGTGCTTGTACTGAGTGCTGTAACTTGCAAATACCTATCCTTGGCTTACTTAACTCAAAAAAAGAAACACTTATTTAAAAGGAAAGTAAGACAAGTAACTTCTTCTAAGGCTCCTCTCCTCCTCTTGTTTTGAGCCAAATCTATTCCTTATATTACTGGAAACAACAGTCCAAGAAAAGTCTTTCTCAGTTACTCTATGATGTGGTTTGTGCCAAAACAGCTTCTCTAACTCCCAGTATTAACTCTACTGTGTTCAACAGCTACAGGTTCAGGAATTCCCAAACTATCCTGTTTGCTGCAGATGGGGCAATTTGTGAGAGAACTTGCCCACTGCGTGGCTACCTAATATTTTCCTCCAAATTTTCCACCTCTATATTAGCTTTAGACCACCATAACCACAAACTGCTGAGGACTGATCAAGAAATCTTACGACCTCAGCCACTGGTATGACATATATCACATTAGTATTCATTTATCTGCCATTTGAAAAAAGAACTATCCTTTCATTACTGATCTGAAAATATTATTATCCCCACATCTTTGGTCAATGGCATAGCCCAGGAAGATCAATGGGAAAACATATTTTATCCCCTGAGAACTATGAAATGCCAACTGATAATTAACAGTCTAAAGTTGCATTACTTGGTTGCTCTCTTCTGCATGCAAAAAAATGTAATTTCAGTAAGACTGGAGACCAAGGGCAGGAAAAGCTGGAAAAATACAACAGTGCTAACAGACCTGGAAGAGGCGGAGACTGAATTCAGAGCACCTGAAATAGTTCACAGACACACTAACTCCTTGTGCAGAGGAGCTGGACCTATAAGAGGTGGGTGCTGATTGGAGGAAAGCCCACTTTTAACAAATCCCATGAGAGAAATTCCCATTGCCTATCAGGGAGTGAGAGCCAAACAGTCTTAGCCACATCAGTTTTTCCTCTCTCTCTCTTGCAAAAGTATCTCCACAGCAGGAAATACATCTAGCCCAAATGACCTGGGGCTGGTAAGTTATTAATTTGTTTTTAATATTGTCTCCTTACTAGGCAAAGGAGCCCTGGCTGCATGTTTCACAGAGGAGCTCACTGCAAGCAGGCAAGGTCTTGCAATATTCCATTTTTAAACGTTTGTAGTGTTCCGGGCGTATTATTTTGAGAACTACTGTTTTCTTAACTGAAAGGCAACTAATCTACTGGCTTTGTTCCCATGCTAACACAAGGCTGCTTGACTGACCCACAGAGTTTATCTAACTTTTTTTTCATTTGCTGGTGTGTCGCATGCTTTCCTGCGGACCTCACATTTGAGTCCTGCTGCCTGCCTGGATTAGTTACCCCACACCAGTCCAAAGGAAACAATATCCCCGAGCACTGTAGTTCAGTGGTTAGAAAGAAGGCAGCAGAGAGAGATGTGCTCTGCAAGGTCTGTCTCTTCCCTGCCCAGGGCTACGCTGTGGCTTGTAGCTGAAACTACAGGAATTAAGCCCAAGCCGCCCCAGCTGTGACACCACTCCAAGTTTCGGTTTGTGCAAAAGGAGCAGACAATTTTGCCAGTCTTGAGACAGCAAGTCTGGCTCCTGCCCTCCATGCTGAGGATGAGTTATGCTATGTGTCAGGAAGCACAGGAGGAGCATCCCTTGCGCCCCAGAGCAGAGGTTGCTATAGCGCTTGGGCTGTGCGCAGCACACGCAGCTAGAGCAGCGGCCCCATATGGTGTGAGCCCTCAGGTGGGCATCCTTCCCTGCTCAGCTGCAGTGCCTCAGACTGTCTGTGATTCCCATGGCCGAACTGCAGATTTACAGCGATCTGCACAGGCTTAGTCACAGACTTACCTGCTGCACCTTAATCTCTTAATCTTAAAGCTAGATGAAGGAAAGGAAAGACTAGATGGCCAATGTAAAGCATTGCATACAAATGGTCCTCTTTTGTCAAGCATTACCTTGCTCTGAAAATCATAAGCAAACAAATAAGCAAAACCAGTCCTTATTTAGTAATGTTACATATACCAGAGCTGGGTGCTGCAGCCAGATATTCGAGGACTACAGTTACATGAAAAGCTTAATACCACACCAAGGCCTTAATGCCTTTACTTTCTAGGATCTTCTACTAAAGAGAAGGGGAAAACAGAGCACAGCAAGACCTTCAAGGACCGATGTAAGAATAAAAAGCTATCTGCCCCTTCTGGGAAAGGACAACTCCAGCACAACTGCCTTTTCTCAGTCCTAAAGCATTCTTGATGAATTACAGGACAGTAGCCACTGAGTAATTTGGCTGGAAAGAAAGTCTGGGGCTTGTAACTAAATCCACTGTTTGAAGTTACAGATTTATGATGACAGGATACAAACAAATTCCTGATTAATATTCAAGAGGTCCACGTTACCATGCTAACCGATGGGAAAGAATGAATGAACAAACAAAAAAGATAAACAATAGTTACGTGTCTGGATTTTCCAAATAAACTGTAACTAGAAAGGAAACCTGCCCACATGAAGCAACTTGGTTTTTAAAGCTTGCAGTACATGGAATTTTTCCATACACATATGGGAAAAATTTTTTTCAGAGCAAAGAAGCTCAT